TGACAACCATATAGGTAGATGGTCGACATGCACAAAGCAGTCATAGTCTGTCTCACAGTCCCTGAACTATATTTCCCCTACTGCCTAACCCCCTCTGCAGTGCTAAAGCCCTAAATATAGCAAGTCTAGTCCCCAGGTTCTGAATATCTGGTCTGCCTTGGACTCCTTTTCCATGTAAATGGGTTTACAGTGGCGGATCCCGACGAGGGTCCCCCCCCCCCCCAAATGACTTAAGATCACATTGAGGATATTTTTGGGTGATGGCGGGGGTGGGGGTGGGGTGTGTGGTGTGTCAGGGGGTTCGAACCCCATTAACCCCCTCCTTTCAAAATTCCTGGATCCGCCCATGGTTTATTTGTTACATTAAAAATTATATATTCAGAGACTAAGCGTTAATCTAGAAGCAGTCTAGACTTTCCCATGTGTGTGGACAAATGGTCACGTCCAGCTGTAACATAAAAGCGCGGACGTCGCAGAGGACAATACACGACGCGAGGTGGAAGTTTGCATCCAGCCTCTGACCAGCAAAGAAGTGTGATAATACTTGGGTACATAAACGACTATAACTAACTTGTAAGCGTATGTACAGTGAAGGTGAATACATGTATAAGGAGAGCGTGAGCTCTACTACGTACATATAGGTGGATAATGAGACAATGGTTTGTACAATTTTGTAGTTAGCAAAAACCCTGATAAAATTAGGGGTATACATACAGGTTGGTGCGGCATAAACGCATATATCTCCCTTATAAAAACAGATGCAGCGACGGGAGTCACATATAGTAAACTCCTCTACAAGGGGTACATACATAGGTGGTAAAAAGATGTCAATTGCTATGCATAACAAGCAAAAATGAGCAACAGGGGACGCACGGCTCAACTAGATGGGCTGAATAAACAAATGCTCAGGCACTTACGGCCATGTTGCATTACACACACGCGAGTCGCGTGACAATATATACTTGCACAGACTTTCATTCACAACCAATGTTTTCCTTCTTTATTCAATGACAAAAAGGCATACTGTAATACTATACATTGTATGAAAAAGAACATAGGACCCCTTATTATGCAACCTAATTTTGAGATTGCTGTTATCAGAGCCATTAACATATATCAAATCTTTGAAGGGCATTTAGAAGTGGAATGCATACCTGATGAAGGAGCAAGCAGATATTCCGAAACGTCGTGTTATTCACAATAAAGAAGTTGACATCCATAAATCTTGCTTTTCTCGTTAACATATATGTTTAAGGACTTATAATGTATAAAATAGGATTGACATGCACAGTTTTTGTCACTCACTGTCAAATACTGGAGTTCCAAATATATCGCAATACATATCGTAATACGGGTACCTGAATCGCAATATATTTGCAATACAATTTAATGGCCAATACACAGCCCTATTCAAAACTAGCGGGTTTGTTCAGGAAAGATAAGTGTAAGAAGATAGTCTGATGGACATATTAATTTTCTTTCCGTATTGACTGAGGTGGTTTAAAGACGCTTTGAACAGTATGTTTGTTACACCAAGGAGTGTCAACTCCGATAAACACGCGGTTATGTATATGGGAAACATTTACCATTTTTGTGATGCTAGTGAGCTCAGGTATGGCGTTGACACGCGTAGACACATGATCTAATAAGGGAGAATTAGAACAAACAGTGGTCTGTTCCTCATACAGAGCCCTGCGTAACGAGATCCAGCTACCCACTCACCTGCCCATCAACACACCATGGCCACCCCTCCCCTCTACGCCACCCCCACGCAGCACCGACCCCCTAAGCTTCATAATAAAACTTGCACTTGACGTATTGATTGAGTTATAAGTTGCCGTTTCATTTATTCAATCACATTACAAATTCAATCAAATTTTATCTGATCAAATGTTGCAAGTAACCATCGGTAAGTACGTGTAACTGGGCAACCCATGTAACCTGCGGATCGCTTTATTACAACCCACTACCTGCGGATCGCCTTATTACAACCTATGAACACAGATTGCCTGTTTGCTTGATACCACTGCTTATGTAATATACTTTGTCAGAGGGTTAAGTTGCCCAGCTCTTTAACAACGTCTGGGAACGTGTCATCTTGATAATTAGCTATAATTTGTGGGATTGGGATATTTGATACTAACTAGGCTATCTGATATCATTAGCGGCGTTTATTTCGGGGCCACATACACATTTATAAGAAAAGCCGCCTGTCAACCTCTGAGACGTGTGTCATATCAATATGATCTGTCTTCCTCGAAACGAAGACACGCGTGTTTTTCATGATTTAAGAAACCGTTTTGTCCTGTAATACATGATCGTTTACACCACGAACAGACAATATGATATTCAAACTATGTTATATCACATAATATATGCCGTTTATATATCTATCTGAACTCAGTCAAGTATGAACCGGTTAATGATGTTGACTATAGCACCGATCTTCTAACCATGTACAGACTAACAATACTAAACCTTTGGTTACGAATAAACGCGATTGCTAAATCAATCCCTTCTTTGGGAGGCATTTAGAAGTTGGAGCAATAAGGAAGGATAACAATATATGGAAAAACCCACGCATCAGTTCACCATGGAAGAAGAGTCCAACCGCCAATTGCCCTTCCTTGATGTGCTGGTTCTCAAGGACACCAACAATAAACTTAATACTACAGTATACCGAAACCCAACCCACACAGGCCAGTACCTTCACTACGCTTCCAATCATCCACCCCAAGTCAAGAAAGGAATCATCTCCACTCTAGTACGTCGAGCCCACAATATAACCAAGGTTACTACATACCTCCTGCGTACTACCAGCTCATTAAAGATCCTCATCATCGATAATCCCTCATTTATGTATACATCGCATCATCCTCATAATCACCTATGTATGTATATCACTGGTTTACTTCCCATTGTGTACTTTGCAGGCTTCATATGTTAACGCGTTCATCTAAGCCCTTGTGTTGTTATTGTGTCTGGCTTCCAGCCCTTGTGTTGTTATTGTGTCTGGCTTCCAGCCCTTGTGTTGTTATTGTGTCTGGCTTCCAGCCCTTGTGTTGTTATTGTGTCTGACTTCCTCATCCCCATTGTACTGTATAAACATCTGCTCTAACTTGTACATATGCTCCTTCATCCTTATGCTGTTCATCACTTGCTTGATAACGGTGTTAGAAGCTACACCGAAACGTCGCTCTCACAGCAATAAAGAAGTTGTTCATCCATATATTGTTATCCTTCCTTAAAACAATCCCTTCAATTGTATCTTGTGGTACCGGCTTTCATCAAATTATATACAGATCTTCAACAAACTGTTTAATGCCAATCATTAAATTAGAATTGAGTTACGATTTGGCTTTTTTGAGTTCACTGGAATATGAAACATCAAAGAAAGAGGCACAAACGGTGTAAATAGAACAGCTTGTAACGAAGTTATCATTGTTTATAAGCATTTGCAATTGGTACCTCGAAAGATGTATAAACAATTGTATTTAATGTCTTTCTTGTACTGACATTCATGACACTGTATGCAGCTGTATCACTGAATAAGACAGTTCCTCAAAACAGCAAATGTCCCAAAGTAATGTATACTAAAAATGTTATAGAGTAACTGTGCAGATTCGTTACACGCAACTAATCTATCCATCGTACGTGTACTCAACAAAATTAGAAACGCGACGCCCATGTTATTTGGTGATAATTGCTAAGTTCTTTTTAGTTTCTTTCGCCATTCACACGACAGTGACACGTGGGCTGCTGGCGCATGGCCTTGCCGAACAACATGTGGTCATCAAGCGTGGAACATACCAATCGCGTGCAGCGAGTCACTTCATCACATTTGCCATCTCCCGTGCATTGGTATGCAAGCAGTCACTAAACAGGAAGTCATTAATAAACGACTATGCCTCGTCTCATAAATCGGTGCTCAGCGTACCATGGGTAGGCTCAGTGCTGGACAATCCGTTGTTGCAGTTACACGAGCCTGGACCGTTCCAGACACTACACAATCTGATGATTGTCAAAAGGTCAAGGCCGTGTGTGCATGACGTCACTCACAAATGAGTTATGTAACTGATTTTCCTACACTGACTTGAACCCGGAGTTTTGGACAAGCCCTCTTGGACCAGTGGTGACTTCACCTCCGGTTAGAATGTTCTCCTGACCACACTTATTACTGACTTCTTCTGTTCCAACAGTTTGAACAGTGTGAAGTTCGCATTAGGGGTCATGGAAGGTCATGCGTTATTTAGTTTTAATAAATGAAGCAGCACTCCCTTTATATCGACTGTATTGGATGATATCAATATGATACACATCTATTTTCATAGTAATGCACACACAATAGGCCGCAGTCAGAGTGCGCCGCATGGCCCATTGAATAAGGGCTATAAACCCTTTCATTAACCAGAGTGACAAAACCATGAAACTTGATATTCATATGAAGCCTGGTTTGAGAACAAGTCCAACTACTAGTATAACATGGACATTCTTGTGAATCGTGAGCGTTTCCTGGTCCACCGGCCCTACAGGTATGAGATCTCTGCTAAACACAGAGAAGGTTATACGATTCAGACTTTGTCATGAGTGTGTCTTTAGGCCAGTTGTTCACATGAAAATGACCCGGAAGTACAAAAAGTGCATCGAACAAACCATTTGTCCCTGATACGTCAACTGGAATTGTCCAGGTTGAATGATGTTGAATGGCGTAAAATGTTAATGATAAAAGTGTTAGGGATTGTGGGATTTCATGTACAAAACCATTCTGAATTCATTGCAAAAAATCTCCTCACATTCTTCCTTCTTACCAAGAGTATTTGTGTTTAGATCCACTGACTAAACTGAAACGTTTTCGATACCCGATCGATATATAGGGACAGTTGCAGTTTAGATTGTACAGATATCGATTACCACGTCACCAGGGAGTCTCCTGCGGCCAACGTTATGACTACTGACGGGAGCGTGTGATTATATTTATCCTTCCATTTATATCACGCGAAGCAGGCTGTGCAAATACCTGTCCCCGGCAAACACCACTTTCGTGCAAAACAGTCACTGGAATAACTTCCCAAGTACTTAAAAGCTTTCATGGAAGCACGTAAGTATCTTTGTATATCTTTCCATGAATGTAACGTGAAAAACGTTAAAACAGTGGACTGGGGGGGATTTGACTTTGTCCTGAACTCAAACCAGAATCCTGTGACGGGGGTTCAATAACAGTAACAAAACACACACATTAACACATTATGGCATGGTTTGTCAACAGTCAACGTGACATATTATGCATGTATTTGATTTGTAAACTTTTTTATATTTTTTTTATATTATTTTTTTATTGGTTCTCAGGAATACAATGTCATATGTACAAAACTGATGTACAGACAGATGGATGATGTACAGGTACTACGTCAATATCCTGTTAATACACATATATAAGTCAATAAAAGAGAAATATGATATCAGGTAAATATGGATACATTTTAAATTCATCAAAGTACTGGGAAGAGAAGACCCCATTTATGATTGAAATGGTTATATTATATTATTTCTTTTGCATATATGGTTTTCCACAAAGAGTATTTCTTTCAAAGTTTTTATAAATAGAGTTATGTTTGGATGCGTATTCTTAATACTGCATAAGTAAATGTGTCTTTTTGCTGCAATGATGATGTGATTTAGTAATATATTATGATGTAGAGTACCAAACCAAACCATATGTTTTGATAATAGCAATGGATGAGGGTATAAATTGTTAAGCCAAATTTGTAGGTTTTTCCAAAAAGTTTGTGTCTCCTGACATTCCCAGTACACATGACAAACACTCTCATTTAGATCATTGCAGAAACAACATTGACTGCTATCAACATTTTTCATTTTAAGCAATTCTCTTTTTGTATAAATAACACCTTGTAGAAATCTATATTGAAAATCTAAAAGTTTTGTGTCTTGCAATCCTTGCAATCCTTGATTTGTAAACTTAGTTAATTGTAGAATGCAATTTATAAATGTAAGATACCTTTGTTGTTTGTTGGTCTCACACGCAATTTGTTTTACGTACTGATTTCAGGTAACTTAATGTTTCAAATACCTAAAAATGACACAGTGATATTCTAAATTTGCAGACCAGATAATCAGTCGATGGACCTCGTTCCAGTGACATGTAACGTATTTAACTATTTTATTGAAATTGAATATAACATGTTACTTTTGGTTGGTTGGATGGTTGTTGTTTAAAGCCGTACTCAGCAGTAATCGAGCTATATGGCAGCGGCCTGTAAATAATCGAATCAGACTGTCCAGTGATCAACAGCATGAGCATCGACCTTCGCAATTGGGATACGATGACATGTGTCAACCAAGTCAGCGTGCCTGACCACCCGACCCCGTTAGTCGCTTCTTACGACAAGCATGGGTTACGGGTGAAATAATAACCGCCAAGCGAGTGGTTCGCTGTGATAACCACCTCGAGGGAACCGAGAGGTAGTTATCGAAGCGAATCACGAGCTTAAGGTTGTTATTTCGCATATACCATAAGGTCAAAACATTCTTATTTAGTAGAATTATTATTAACTGCAATGTACAGATGTTATAATAAAATAATAATTTACACAAGTATTCACAAGTATTCTAGATACACGTATAAAACTTTGGGCTTCAACACAGGATATCATTTCCGAGTCGCAAGCAGGGTTTAGAGAAGACTACAGTACTATTGACCAAATATTTGTTCTAAATTCGATTATCCACAAGTACATAAGGAAAAAACGTGGAACATTTTTACTGTATTTTTGTTGATTTTAAAAAAGCTTTCGATACCGTTTACAGAAACAATCTCCTATGTATACTTCTCAACAATGGTCTACATGGTAAAATTAGCACTGTTTTACGTTCAATGTATACTCATGCAAAAGCAGCTGTTAGATGTACGAAGTACAGTATGACTGAAATATTTAACCCAGTGACTGGAGTACGACAAGGTTGTATCTTATCTCCAGTCCTATTTATTATGTACATTGATGAACTAGTTAACGACATCATAAACAGCGACTATAGTGGCGCTTTTATTGATGAGACTATAAATGCACTGTCAATTCTTCTGTTTGCGGATGATGTCGCTATATTTGGAGACAGCGTTGTGAACCTACAGAAAAAGATAGATATCTTAGAACAGTATTGTACGAAATGGTGATTGTCAATAAATACAAATAAGACAAAGGTCATAGTTTTTATAAAAGGTGGTAGAATAGCAGAAAGAGAAAAATGGTCACTTGGAACAGAGAAACTAGAAACTGTCTCCTATTATAAGTATCTGGGATTAACGTTATCGTGTAGAAATGTATTCACAAAAGCTTGTGGTGTTTTGTGTAAGCAAGCAGAGAAGGCCTTATTTCCTATTAAGAAATTCATGTACAGATATAAACAATTCCGTTCGATATATTTTTCAAAATCTTTGACACTAAAATCCAACCTATATTATTATATGGAGCAGAAATTTGGGGAACTGTTATCCGCCATGGAATAGAAAAAGTACATTCAAAATTTTGTAAAAACTTTCTAAACGTTGGCTATCGCACATCGAACAAGGCAGTTTTAGCAGAATGTGGGAGATACCCTTTACATGTAAATTATATGACACGAGTTGTTTCGTTCTGGATACGTCTGCTTCGGCAACCAGACACACGTTACCCACGTCGCTCGTATGATATGTTGAAACGTTCAGACGACAATGGAGATATTAACTGGGCTTCGGCAGCACGATCAATATTATTTCAACATGGATTTGCTTATGTATGGATATATCAAAATGTTGGAAACTGGGAATTGTTTTTAAATCTTTTGTAAAGACATGTACTATCAAAAAAGGACACAAGATATAAGAAACTCAAGATTACTGCATATGTATTCTGACTTTAAATCTGATATTGTTCCGGAATTGTATTTGATCGCACTCTCTTCGTTACATCTGCGCAGAGTCTTAACACAATTCAGATGCGGCTCCACCAATTTAAAAATAGTTACTTACTGAAGATCTAAAGACAATGACATTAGTGTAGCAATGTGCGATTATTGTAAAAATGTACCAGAAGATGAGTATCATGTGTTAATGAAATGTCCTTTATAAGCAGCGGTAAGAACTCACTACATACCAAGTATCTCTATTATGAACCCAAATAAACAAACAATTGGACATCTTCCAAATACTAAGAACCATAATATAATACTCCGTCTAGCAATTTTTGTAAACAAAATCATGTCCATGCGCTCTGTAAAAATTTAATCTCAGTTGTCATTTTGTACTATTGGCCTCATGGCCACATCTATGAAATAAACCTGTCTGTCTGTTATTTACACAAGTGTTATAAACATTTGTACTGTATTTATTTATTGAAGATGTTTCCAACAAAAACATTGAGGTGGAGGCACAGGGTTGGTTGTCAAACCCGATCTGCCAAGGGAAAAGTTCTTCTCGAGGTGCGATACCAGGGAAGAAGGTGAGCCTTGTTCCCGGTATCGCACCGAGAGTTAGTCAGATGCCCGCCGTAGGGGCTTATATGGTAACCAACCTCTGGAGAAGGTTGGTTATCTCATAACCATCCCCTTGAGAGGTCGTTCACAGAAATTAATAACCCCAGATATTGACCCGATAATCCACCCACGTGGTATATTGAAGATCAATATTCTAACCCGGACCTGCACGAGTACGTTAAATATGAATAATACCTCCAGTATATATATAGCTGAACGGTTAAGGAAGTTTTGGAAATATGTCAACGTCTTGAAATACGGGAGTAAACCAAATGTAAAATCTCCACACGGTTGTATGCCATTAGTCATAGGCCCATTTCTCATGATACGGCCACTAGTCATACGGACCGGATCAGACTGGACCGGATTAATCAAAACAACAAGGGTCATGCTCCCTAACGATACAATAGACTCATCCGCTTTTCTTGTTCGCGATACAAGGTGATAGTCAAACATACAGATTCTTTTGAATGTGTTCTTAGAAAAGCAGGGTAAGAATACAATTTCATTTCAAATTCGAATTAAACCTTAATGCAGATAATTCGATGCAGATTTTCCTCTATCCATTTCAACATTTTTGCTTAAAAACTCGTTACCATATTCTGGAAGGATTCCATATTGGCGCATGAACATTAGAACTACTTTAAACAAGAACGATAACTCCTGTTTGATTCCAATGGTACTTAATATCACCGAAGCACACCGACTTTGTATTGCTGTTTTTGTTTGTGGTTATTCATTCATTTATCTATCTAAAGAATTAAATATCTTTGATACAACTAAAAGAGGGAGAATTTATTTCGTTAAAGACATAGTCTAACTTAATTATGACCAGCTGTTCACCATGTATATTTCTAAATAGGGTTTAAGAATCATAAATGAGATTTATTTTATTTATTCAATATGCACATAAAATAAAAAAAATTCAGCTACATTAAATCCCAAAGCAGATACTCAAAAATGACTTTATTTCTCAAACTGAAGGTTCGTGTAACCTTGCTGCCATACCTCTGGTGAATGTTAAAATGAAGATTAAAATTACTTAGTCAAATATAGATATAATATACTCGGCGTCCTTAATGAAGGGTCATGCTATTGGTGACACTATTTCTGAAAAGCTGTACAATCTTCGTTTTTGTTTGAAATATTACAACTGATAATTTTACAAACTTTCTTAACAGTATGGAAAAACACATCAGGCCGTTGAAATGTCATTATTACGTCTTTAACGTCCGATACATTCTGTTACAAATGGCACATTTTTGTTCAAATTGTCAATATGGAAATCCACCTGGCACTTAATGTCAATGATTTACACGTGCAAGACGTTCTATCCATGGAAAGTGGAGGACAATACATGTAACATAGTCGAAACCACCTTCCCCTGTCGCCATGGGCCAGGCTCCAGTCAGCATGTAAATGTATTAACGACGTGACCATGAAAGACATTGCAAACAAGTGCGGTGATACTGAATCCTTTGAGTCAGTCTCTGGTCAACTCGTAAACGTGCCAGCGATGGTAAACAACGGCAGTGATCAGAAATCATTTATGGTCTTTAACGACACATTAGCGTCCAGCTATCAAGCCTGACCAAGAGTGTATACAAAGAGAGGCGACCGGCAACAGAGGTGTACAAGGAAGTAAGTCCAAGAGTCAGAATTCTTCTCCAAACAACGCATAGTGAAAAAAAACACCCACGAAGCTTCACTCTCCCGAACACAGTAGTACCAGCATTAGCAGCAGCCTTGTCAAAGTCCACCCGGAAGAAGTCGGGATTCAGACGGAAGGTAATGGTAACTAGCTACACCCTTGATAAGCTGGAAGGCCCTAGTGTATGTAGCTTCGGTCTTGTTTTGCAAAAGGCAGTAGACGAGAGGGTGCATCGGTCCCTGAACTTCGGCGTGGATAGTGTAGATCTGTAGGAAGGTGAGGTGAGGTGAAATTGGGTTTAACGTCGTGCTTGAGAATATTTTGCTCACATGACGACGTGCATGCGTGTGTATGTGCATGTGCGGCTGCTTGTACTAGCCCAGACTGAAGCTGGTTTTATAGTGCTAGCCCACTGAGATACCATGCCGCAGTGAAGCATGAATACCCCACTCAGACACATTATACTGACTCCGAGCCGCCAAGTCCTTGTTGTACCCATTAATGCCGAGCGCCAGGCAGGAACCAACAAGTACCATATTTTAACGTCTTTTGGTATGACGCGGTCGGGGATCGAACCCGCGACCTTCCGCTCTCCGGGCAGACGCTCTAACCACTTCACCATGGAGGCGGTCAGATCTGTTGGAAGAGTTTCGGGGGATGTGTAGAACGTTCCACCACCATGTGTGACATCGGCTTCGCAGAGATGTTCCAAGTTCACCCTTGTAGCAAAGATGAGAATTCGGTCTTCGGCCCCAAGTCTCATTACTAAACTAACCCTAAAAGAGTGACCCCCGTCCACTGATCAGTGGCCTCTCCCACTCTTGTTTCACGCACCAATTACCTCATTAATTATGTTATGTGGGCAAACTGTAATTAGGCCTTGTGGGATTTATTAGGTGTGAATTTTAGGCCTCGCGGACTGTAACCGTACAGAGAGACACCGGCGGACAGCAGCAGGGGAGACACCAGCAAACCTGCCCAGATAGCAAAGCCTCTGACAAATGCCATATTAAAGGTCACATGCAACCAAAAAATCAAACATAATTAAAACACAATTATCACTTATTCATGACATATAATATACATTGCTGATTATGACAAAAACATATAAACAAAGTTATAAGCGTACAATCGCAAATCAAAAGTGCAATATTTTGTACTTGGGTTCACTTCCCTAGAAACGAAGCAGCCGGGATACCGAACCCAGTCAGAGCGGGTGGATGTGCACTCAAGTGTAACGGCTGGTTCATTTGCAGATGCCCTCACGGCTCTTTGTGTGTGTATATATAGAGATATTGGGTTTTGTAAATACATGCTCATTTTTTGTGTATAACATTTTGCAATCAACAGACATCATAACATGTCATGTGTACAAGTATCACACCTGCCTGTCTGTGTAATGAAATAATGTGACAGACACCGAACTTGGGTCATAAATCAATGCGTTTTGTTTATGGTGTATAGCCTGATAGGTGTTAAGTTCAAATTGCATGTGGTCAGTGATCGAAGTTGTGTATTGAATATTGTTATTAGCAGACAGGCAGGCAGACACATTTAAGTATCGAACTGAGAAAGTGACTCGGTAAGAAGAACGTGTGGTGAAATAGACAAATGAAATGTTATAAACACTTAAATCGGTAATCTACTGTCATAACATATAAAAAGCTCGCGCCTGTGAAATATCAACAAAACATTAGAAAAATAGCTCACACCAAAGCCTTCACCGAGTATTCACCGCCAGCGAAGTTTTCCGTCTTGAAATGTCGAACGCCTCACTGGTCGACACATAGCTGAGTAGATCTAGATCCTAACAAGGTTCTTTTAACAAGGTTCTTGTATGTAATGAGTAGATTATTTACTATTTGTTTTGATTAGACTACTCCTGCTCACGACCTTATAATCCGGACAACCCGCTTCCAAGCTGCGCGAACCAATTTCACTGCGCATTTGCTATGAGCGCAGCCCTGCGCAGCTGTTGAAACCACTTTTTTCCCCGAGCGCTGGGGAAAATCAGTGAATCGTTTGGACTCCGATTTCGCGCGGTTTTTTTCATCGCGGTATTTTTCAACTTAGTTGAATTTGCATTTTTGAGGTTTGTTTCGGTAAGTCCATACCAAAAGGTATCAGAATCTGCAAAGTTGTGTTTTACGTTGCATGTGACCTTTAAACAAGAACGAAAACTCCACTCTGCCTCTTTGTTGTCCTTACTTTGTCACATACAAATGCATTGATGCTTTTTCACTGTCGTTCACTGTTCAGGTACAGTCGTCGCAGCTTAAAATGAGACGTTTTTTTACACTTGCTGAAAGGTGTCAGGCTGAAAATAAAAATAAACTCAGCGACAGGTTGCTGTCCGCTTTAATGTGAGTCAAAGTGGCTATTGGTCCGTGGAATATGCACGTCGACCAGGTGGTCCCATAGTCACAACAGTCCGAGATGATAGGCGCATGATAAACACTGCGTTACGTAACAGATTCCTTAACGCAGCAGATCTTCAGACAAAAAACTTCAATGTTAAATATGTAAGGATATCCAGGAGCACCGTTCGTCGACGTTTAAGGGCAGCCCGACTCCACTGTAGGCGACCTGCAGTTCGTCCATCACTAGCTCCACATCACAGGCAGGCGCGTTTGAGATGGAGTAGACATCATGGCCGCTGCAATCTCGTGGGTCTCGTGTGCTCTTCACAGATGAAAGCAGATTCAATTTGTCCTTCCATGATGGTCGGCAGAGGATTTATCGTCGCAATGGAAAGCGAATCACAGATGCAACAGTGGCCACGCATCAAGTCAAAACATTGATTACACAACAGTCTCGTTTTCTTTTGACTGGGTTCCGTCCTATTGCGCAACTTAGTACAATAGCCAGTCCAGAATTTTGAGACCAATTCATTCAACTGGATGCATAAATATTAATCAGTATTATTAGATACATCTAAGCACTTGTATATTGCAACACTACGCTCCGTCTAATCCTTGCAAACAGACAGACAGACAGATTATTTATTAAAGTCTCACCCCTGTTATACATATATACAAACTAATTAAACATATATTTACATAAGGGCCATTCCATACGGAATTATGAGAGACTAAAATTCTTTAAAAATTGCATGTACATGTATTATGAATAACAACAATTAAAAGTTATATAATACGGATTTTCTCCTTTTTAAAATAACATGGCAGGTTTTGGCAGCTATAAAACAGATATTGCTATTGGAAAGGATAAAAGCAGTTTTTTGTATATCAGTAAGATACTAAAATTCTGACATAGGCTATCACAAGTATTTAAAAGACTAAAACGTTCATCACTATAAACCGGACAATTAATTAAAACATGAACTTCGTCTTCAACACAGTGTTTACAATAAAAACATTTTCTGTCGTTAAGTAAAGCGGAACATTGTTATATCTACCCAGCTCAATATTTATTGGTGCAGTGCCGCATCTGAACTTAGCATATGCACTTCTGTATGGGCAAACACGTTGTGCAGCGTGCTCTGTAGTACAGCGCGCTCTGACAAACGGAAATCTTGAAATCGTGGAAATATCAAAACGAGGCTCTGCCGCTAGAAAAGTTTGGCGGTCTGGTACGGACTTGATATTACATCAATCACATTATGCGTTACAAAACTACACTGAATAGGTGCACAAAACACATAATAGATGTAACCAGTCAGCCAGATGAATTGTGAATCATTTTACGACCTCATCAAACAGGGACAGTGTGTGACGTCTTAAAGTACTGTCGGAAATAGGAAAAAAACCTGTTTTTAGGCTGTTAATCTGTATCCCTAAAACTCACACAACTGCAAGTAGCATATGTCGAAATAACCCACATCGGCCTAACTGGGCGTTCACTGGGATGTGTAATAGGATATCCAGAAATGCATGTTTACTCGTAAAATCGGGCAAAAAATACGAATAGCTGCTGACAATAGATCAGACTATATAGATGCCAATTAGTTCGCTAAGCCAGGAATGAAGACGGACCGTCGACTCACCTAGCATGAAATGCATGTGCTGCCTACAGGCACAAAGGGCATCTCAAATATATTTTATGCTTTTTTCGTGTGTATTGCATTTTCTTATGAAACAAGGAATTGGAATTCAGTGTAACCATAGTTGTTTGGGGTGTCTCTTTTCATTTTAACACGAGAAAATTTGGATGGCTGAAAAGTAGGTCATTGTCTGAATAGGTTAATGAGACTCATGTGTCGGTTTGACCGATTTGGCGGGGAATCGGTCATGGTTTGGGCAGGGACAACTCTAGTCTGTCTCACCACATTATTTTCGCTACTGACAAGCCCTCTCTGCAGTGCTAAAGCCCTAAATAAAGCAAGCCTGGATTTCCTCAGGTTCTGAATCTCTGGTCCTTCTAGGGCTCCTTTTCATTTTAAATGGGCTTGTTTGTTATTATCAAAATTATATATATTCAGAGACTCAGCATTAGTCCAGGACAACTCCTACTGGGGCTGTAGGGGTCGTTGTCGGCACAGG